TGTGGAGAGCCACAGCCTCCGCCGCCATTACAAGATGGCGCCGGGATCCGGACCTTCTTAAAAGTAAACATCCTGCCACACCCATAAGGGGCGTGCACAAGAGCCTGCTCTCCCTCGCCTCCTCCCGTGGCATGATCTCCAGCAACCAATCCGCTTCTTATGATCTCCAGCAACCAATCCGCTTCTTATGATCTCCAGCAACCAATCCGCTTCTTATGATCTCCAGCAACCAATCCGCTTCTTATGATCTCCAGCAACCAATCCGCTTCTTATGATCTCCAGCAACCAATCCGCTTCTTATGATCTCCAGCAACCAATCCGCTTCTTATGATCTCCAGCAACCAATCCGCTTCTTATGATCTCCAGCAACCAATCCGCTTCTTATGATCTCCAGCAACCAATCCGCTTCTTATGATCTCCAGCAACCAATCCGCTTCTTATACATCATAAATGGGACCTTTGGGGCATATATAAGCAACAGCTCTCCCACTTCTCGGCGTCTTTGGTCTTCAGTCTTCAAATAAACTGCTGCAGAAGGATCCTGACTTGTCCTCCCGCGTCGTTCTTGCTGGCGAGACGGAAAGCAGTCGGGGACACTACAGCTGCACACATCCTTGCAGGATGAATAGCTGTTGGGCATAATATTCACACTACAGAGGAGCCTGGCCAAAGCATGGAGGACCTCCTTAAATAAATCCTGGGGCATAAGAGCAAATCTGAAAATTGCCATCAAACTGGAATTACACTTTATTGTTGAAATTTTGAATAAATGTTTAAAAATTTGCCATTTCTCTCTGTGTATCCCTGTCCCTGTCCCTCTTCCTCTCCCTCTCTTTTCTTTCATTCAAGATAGAGTTTCATGAAGCGGATGCTGGCCTCGAACTCCTTGATCCCCCTGCCTCCACTTCTCCAGTGCTAGGATTCCTGGTGTTTGCCACCATGCTTAGCTTAACTCTAAGTCTTCATCAGGAACCTCAGCTGCTATATTGTACAGCACTGCAAGCTTCCAGTTTCAAATCGGGAATTAATTTCAACCAAGTTTCCAGAGAAGTATTACATACTAAATAGACTGCTAAATAATCTAATATAATTCTTACAAGTTACTTTGTTTGATGATATAAATTTTAGTACCTCCCAATTAGATTAAATGGGCTGGCATATAGTTCAGTTGTAGGATGCTTGCCTCGCATGCATTAAGCCCTTGGTTTGACCCCTAGCACTGCTGAGCTTGGTGGCACATGCCTCTCTCTAATCCCAGTACTCAAGAGGGGAAGCAGGACCAGAAGCTGAAGGTCATCCTAGGCTACATAGCAAGTTTAAGAATAGCCTGGGCTACATGGGTCCCTGTTTCAAAAATGATTAGATTTATAATAAATTATTCTTAATTTGCTATCTACTATTATTTAATTTTCCCAAATATTGATTGGTCTTAAAAAGACATACTATTCTTCCTAAAAGTATCTAGTTAGTGTACTTTCATATTTGCTGTTAATTGTCAATCTATGTCCCTATTTAACTACTTAAAAGTTGGTAACTTTTCCCTGGGTTCAAATTAGCAGCTTCCACTAATCTCATTAATTATTATAGTTTTAAAAGTATTTAATTAATTCCTTGAGAATTTCATACACACACAATGTATTTTGATCTTATTCACCACTCCCCTCCTCCTAGCTCCTCTCATGTCCACCTTAACCAACTTTGTGTCCTCTTTTTTTTTTTAGCCACCAAGTCCAATTTGTCCATATACTCATGGGTGTCGGGCCATCCACTGGAGCATGGTCAACCTACCAGGGGCTAAATCCTTAAAAAAAGAGGTCTCCTCCCTCCCCCAGAAGGCATCAGCTGTCAATAGCTCCTCAGCTAGGGGTCGGGGACTGTGATCCTTTCTCCCTCTGCGCTAAAATGTTGACTGGCTTGATCTTGTGCAGACAACCACAACTGTGTTCATGAGTGCAGTGGTCCTGTCATGTCCAGAAGACACTGTTTTACTCTGGTCCTCTCCAACTCTCTCTCTTATAACCTTTCCACTCCCTCTTCTGGGGTGTTCCCTGAGCCCTAGGGGTGGGGGGGGGCATGTGATACAGATATCTCATTTCTGGCTAACTTCACAGATTTATTCTCTGCATTTTGACCAGTTGTGTGTTTCTGTGTTAACTGCTGTCTACTACACAAAGAAACTTCTCTGATGAGGTCTGAGAGCTGCACTATAGTAGGTTCACCCCTGGGGTCTATGAACTCTCCAACCTAGGATTCTTGGCCAGATTTATAGTACTAGGCATGCATTTCCTTTGTGGAACAGGTTCTAAAGCCAAGCAAGAAGTGGTTGGTTACTTCAATAACATTTGTGCCACTATTGCACCTGTGGGCAGATCTTGCCAGACTGGTCATCAGTGCAGTTCACAGGATCACAGCTGAGTAAAACAGTTATGCTTTTCCCCCAGCAGCCTGCATAGCACCTTCTGGTACTATGAAAGCTATCGAGCAGGGAGGAAGCTTCCTGGTCAGTACCAACCTGATTTCTCCATGTCCTGTGTACAGTTTTTATTCTTGCAATCAAGTTGGTTA